AAAATAGAAAAAGAAAAAGTAAATATAAAAAAAAAGAAAAGTAAAAAAAAGAATTAAAATGATTTGATATATGATATGTTTTTTATATTAAGTGGGTTTCATAAAAAAAATTTAAAAATTATTTATTAAATATGTAAAAAATAGAAAAAGTAAAAGTAAAAAAAAAGGAAAAAAAACAAGTGATATATCTTTGGTAGCAAGTGAGTATCATGAAAAAATTTAAAATTTTAAAAAATATTTATTAAATATTTTTAAATAAAAACAAAAAAAGAAAAAAATATTAAATATTAAAGTGAGTCTCACACAAAAAAATAAAATTTTTTTATCAAAGAAAAAATCTAAAAAAATACTTTTTATTGTTTAAAAATTTTATTAAATATAATAAATAAATTAAAAAAACATAAAAATGCAAATAAAAGAATGAAGCAACAAACAACACGTGGACAACATAGTAGATAAAACATTTGCAAAATTTATATCTAACATACATATATTTTTATCTTTTATTGCTTAGAATTGTGACATGTAAACTACCACATATGCAACTTTCATTTGCCATGTAAGACCATTAAGTTGCCAAATATTCATTTTAAGTTGTCAGGTCTTTCAAGTTTAATTATTTCCTTTCTATATCTTTCATCTCTTAGGGTTTACAGCCAAAAATACTTCATCTTTCATTCTTGGTTGCCTTTTCAATACTTGTATTCCTTTTTCATTTATTTAAAAAAATGTTTTATTTTTTTATTCAAAAGACAATAAATCTTCAAAAAAGTCTTTAGAGATTGAGAGGAGATAAAGTTATACTTTTCAAATTCTTCATGTAAGTAACTAATTGTCTTTTTTATTATCTATTTATTACTTTCAATTTTCATTCTCCAAGAAAAACACATTCATCTAACATTTGATTGTAAATATAAATATTTTTAACTTAGTTTTTTTTTTAAAAAAAATTGTTTTATATACATTTTTTTTTGTTTTAGGTTCTACCAACAATCTGTCTAATACTTTTTTTTCAACAGCCTTTCCATGAAAAATATTTCATCAAAAGTATGTTACTTCCAATTAAAATAGAATAATCTTTTCCTAATTTTAAAAATCCATTTGAACAAAAAAAAATCCACTGTCTTAGAAGAAATCACCAAATTTAGAATTTGTTTAATGATTATCTGATCACCTATTTTCATTCAGGTTCTTTGCAATCTTTCTTACAATGTAGATACATTTCTTTTCTTTTCCCAATTTTAACAATTATATTTTTATTATATTATCATTGCATTATAGTTTTGGTTTAATAATAAAGATTTTTAATGAAAAAAGTGAAATAAATCACAATGACTAATTAGTGATTTGAAAATGAAATGAGCAAGAATTTTATTTGAAATTATGGGTTAATTTACAACTTAGGTGAGATTTATTTGCCTCTTTTGATTACAGAAAATATGACATTTTTTATTTTTACCCGTTGTGACTTTTTCACTTTTTAAAATATATGAGATATTGGAGATGTGTCATTGTTATTTTATCTTTTGAAATGTATTTTTTTATTATTGCAATATATATTAGATAATAAAATCATAAACCATAACAACGTGTGGATTACTATCTTATATAGTTTATAAATTAAAAAATAATAAAAAATTTTAAAGTAAAAGTAGCAAACAACACGTGGACAACAATAATAGATGTGTTTGTGTTAAGTTCGGACTAATAAAAAGAGCTCAAAGATAAGACTGAGAGAATTGAGAAGAAGAGTTCAAAAGAAAGAATGAGAGAGTTAGAAGAAGAATTGGCTTTCTTTTTACTTAGAGGGAGTGGGGTATTTATAAAAGTTAGCTAAGACTAAATGACCAAAATACCCCTATTCCAATTGTGAGCTACTCTTTTAGGATAAAAGATAATTATACCTTTATGACCTAAAAATAACCCTAACATTATGTTACCCAAAAACAGTCTGAAGATTAAATAAAGGTTGAGCCGAAATATCTTACCTACTTTGGCTTTAGTTGATTTGTTAAAATTTAAGGATATATCCAAGTACAGACTTTGAATGTTGATTTTATTATCTAACCTTTTAGTGACGCGAATGGTTTGAAATACTGATATGATGGGATGTCATTTTATGATTCATCTAATGTGGATAACTATTAGGATCTCAATAGTTTTTTTATTTTATTTGCTAACTATTTAACATTGGCCAAGGTTAATAGGCAGTTGATCTGGGGGCCCTTAGGTCATCTAAGTTAGTTATCCAATAACCAATAGATACTTGATAGATTTTATAATGAGATTCTAAATTCATTTGTGCCAAGATGATTTACACCGAGGTGAATCTATGTCGAGATAATTTACATTAAAGTAAATATATGCTAAGGTGATTTTTACTTAGGTGAATTTGTGTCGAGATGATTTTCACCAAGGTGAATTTGGTGAATCTGAACTCTTGCAAAAATAATTTTGTTGAGCGAAGATTTATTGAAAGAAAATTTATTTAGTAAGCTTTTTTTAAGGTAATTTTTATTATAGTGAGCTTTTTTATCGAGCTAAGTAATTAGGTCAAGCTGAAATTTTTTAGCCAACCTGAGCTTTTTAGCTATGCTAATCCTTTGCTAAGAAAATATGGTGAAGCTGTTACTTTACCAATGAAATTTGGCTAGATCGAGCTCTTTTATCCTAGCTAATTTTTTTTAACCAAGCTAACCTTTTTTGATGAACTGAGCATTTTTGGTCAAGCTGGCAAAACTAATATTTTATTAATAAAGTTTAGCTAAGTTGAGCTCTTTTAGTCAAACTAATCCTTTATGAAAGAAATTTGATGAAGTTAATACTTTATCTAAGAAATTTAGTCAAACTAAACTTTTTTAACTATCTTTTATCTTTTGACCGAGTTAATCTTTTTTAGCCAAGCTAATTATTAAGGCTTTTTGGACGAGTTGGTCTTTTATCAAAAAAATTCGATCGATTGAGCTCTTTTGACTAAGCTGATCACTTTGATTAAGGTGGCCCAATTAAGCCATTATAAATGCAATTTACTACGACGAGCTCTTTGACCTAAGGTTAGCTTTTTTAGCCAAGCTGATCACTTTGGTCAAGGTGATTCAGTTAAGCTTTTATAAAGGTAATTTACCGAGATAAGTTCTTTAGTCGAAGTAACATAACTAAACCTTTATGAAGGTAATTTATCGAGCTAAGCTCTTTTGGTCAAGTTGATCACTTTGGTTGAGGTGCCCCAACTAAGCTTTTATAAAGGCAATTTACCTATATGAGCTCTTTGGTCGAGGTGGTCGAGCCAAACCTTTATGAAGGTAATTTACTAAAATAGCTTTTTGACTGAAATGATCAAGATAAGCTTTTTTGACTAAGGTAAGCTTTTTTAGTTGAGTTGAGCTTTTTTGTCCAAGTTGAGCTCTTTTGGTCAAGCTGATTACTTTAGTCAAGGTGGCTCAACTAAGTTTTTATGAAGGTAATTTATCAAAATGAGTTTTTTTATTGAAATGGTTAAGATAATCTCTTTTGCTGAGGTGAGCTCTTTTGGTCAAGCTGATCATTTTGGTCGAGGTGACCCTATTAAGTTCTTATGAAGGTAATTTACCGATATGAGCTCTTTAGTTGAGATGGCCAAGCTAAGCCTTTATGAAGTAATTTATTGAAATGAACTTTTTGATCGAGGTGGTCGAGATAAGTTCTTTTGATCGATGCGAGCTATTTTGGCCAAGCTAATCACTTTAACCGAGGTGACCCAACTAAACATTTATGAAGGTAATTTACTAAGATGAGCTCCTTAGCCAAGGTGGCCAAAATGAACTCTTTTGATCGAGTTGAGTCCAAGCTCTTTAGCCAAGCTATTTTGTCATTGGGCCTTTATAAAGGTATTTTGTAGATTCAAGCTTTTTTGATTAAGCTAAGTCTGAGCTCTTAGATCGAGCAATTTTGTCGAGTTAGGCTTTTATAAAGGTATTTTATAGATCCAAGCTATTTTGGTCGAGTTACGTCTGAGCTTTTAGGCTGATCTATTTTGTTGAGTTGGATCTTTATGAAGGCATTTTGTAAATCCGAATTCTTTTTAGTCAAGTTGAGTCCGAGCTCTTATGTCTAGCTATTTTATCTAGTTGGGCCTTTATGATAGCATTTTGTAAATCTAAACTCTTTTGACCTAGTTGAGTTTGACTCTTTGGTTGAGTTATTTTATTGAATTAGGCTTTTATGAAGATATTTTGTAAATCCAAGCTCTTTTGATCGAGTTAAGTCTGAGCTCTTAGGTCGAGTTGTTTTGTTGAGTTAGACCTTTATGAAGACATTTTGTAAATGCGAACTCTTTTGGCCGAGCTGAGTCTAAACTCTTAGGTCAAGCTGTTTTGTCAAATTGAGCCTTTATAAAGACATTTTAAAGATCCGAGTTTTTTTGATCGAGTTAAATTTAAGCTTTTTGGTCATGCTGTTTTATCGAGAAGAGGTTTTTCTAAAGCTGATATACAGATTTGAGCTCATTGACCAAGTTTAATCTGAGCTCTTTGGCTGAACTGAGGTCAAACTTTTTTTATAGAGTTGAGTCTAAGCTTTTTGGCCGAGTTGGATTCGAACTCTTTAGTCGAGCTAGGTTCAAGCTCTTCTATCTTTTTGTGGTGCCATTCTTAACTTTATTAAGAAAAATCTCTACCTTATGTGCCATTTGTTTGTGCTAAGTTCGGGTTGAGAGAAGCACTCAAAAATAAAAATGAGAGAATTGAAGAGAATATCTTAAAAAAAAAAAAATGAGAGAGTTAAAAAAAGAATTGACTCTCTTTTTAATTAGAGAGAGTGAAAATATTTACATAAATTGATTGAACTAAATGACTCAAATACTTCTATTTCAATTGTGAGTTATTCTTTTAAAATAAAAAATAATTATATTTTTATGACCTAAAAATACCCTTACAGGTGGTATATCTATAAAATTTATATATAGGATGTTATTAAATTTATATTCAAAGTAAACAACTATTAAATTTATATTCAAAGCAAACGACTTTTTAATTTTTTAAATTAGTTTCTTGGATGTATTTACAATTTACTACACTGGTACCAGAAAGAAACGAAAGACGCCGCCTCGGCTAAACTACACCTGTTTTCGTTTCGCTGAAAATGTATCCAATTTACCCAATCGTTCCCTTTTTTTTTTTTTTTAATTACTTGCTAACATCAGCAGGGTGCTCAATACACCCCTCCATCCGACGCCAACATTATTCCCATCCCTAAACCACGATAGGAGGAAAAGTAATCCAACTACACACTTCCCCATCCTTTCTGAAACCCTAATAACAAACATTAGAAAATTCCAACGGATTCTCTCTTTTTTTTTTTCCAGGTTTCCCCTATTTTCCCTGATTTTCATCAATCTATAGATATATATTTCGCTTTGATATTAAAAGTTTAATATTTTTTTAATTTTTGAGCATTTAGGGTTTCGAATCTTATTTTCTGGCAAAGATTTTTATAGGGTTTGGTTCCTGAACGGAATGGCGTCGGCATCAAGTCAGCCGCAGTTCCGTTACACTCAACCCCCATCTAAGGTGCTGCATTTGAGAAACTTGCCATGGGAGTGTACGGAGGAAGAGTTGATCGAGCTGGGGAAGCCATTTGGTAAGGTCGTTAACACCAAGTGCAATGTTGGAGCCAATCATAATCAAGCTTTCATTGAATTCGTAAGTTTAATCAGATTTTTTTTTCTTTTTTGTTTTTAACTTTCTTCCGTTTACTTCAATAATTATAGTAATTGTATTTTTTTTTACGGTTTTTTAGGCTGATTTAAATCAGGCTATTGCTATGATATCATATTATGCATCATCTTCTGAGCCTGCTCAAGTAAGGGGCAAAACGGTCTACCTACAATATTCTAACAGGCAAGAGATTGTAAACAACAAAACGACCGCGGATGTTGCCGGAAATGTTCTGTTGGTAACAATAGAAGGTCAAGATGCGCGGCTTGTTTCTATAGATGTTTTGCATTTGGTAAGGAAGACCTTGGTCTATTTGTCTTTTTGGTTTAGAAGGGTGTGAAGTTATTATTTCTAGGTTGTTGCTTGATATGAATTTAGATAGTTACTAGGATTGTGTAGTTATTGTCATGCTCTTTTGGGAAAAAAGCTTTTTGTTGTTTTGACATGAATGTCAATGGATCAGCAGGATCATGTCAAGGGAATTATCTCCAATGGCAGCTTAGTGCATCGGGAGAAAGAGCACATGTGTGTTTGTCTCCTTTCTCCTTTCCTTAACACTGCCTCTCTCTTCCCTACTCTTCCTTACTTACCTCCTATTCCTACCATTTAGGATTTTTCATTTCTTCTTTCATGTACATCCTTCTGCCTTGAACTTTTTAGATGCTTTGTGTCACCATGTTTTCGCTTGTGCTGCATGAAATGAAGTTTCTATGAAGTTTGTTCTCCATTTATGATTTTGTACATATGGTCTGTATTATAAATTGTGCAATAAATTAGGTGCAAGCTTTGCTGAGTGTCTAAATCTTCACTCCTCATGAACATGAGCTGGGTAGTCTAGTTGAGTGCCTCTGTTTTTCTTGGCACTTAGGTGAAGCAATGTACCAAACAAGTGTCTTAGAACCCTGAATCCATGGTAACTTTAAGGGAGGTGCCTGCTTTCGTGCATAGCTGACCATCTTAGTAGAACAAAAGGTGCTTAAGCCAAGTGCCTCCCTAATTTGGCAGTTATTTTGTAGAAAGTTTGAAGACCCATGATTAGTTAGCCAATCAGTCAGCTAATCAGCCAGCTAATCAGCACTGTTTATTGTCCACTGACGTCCTTTATTCACAGAATGAATGAATATCATCAATAAAAGCCCTTGAAGATGGAAAGATGCTTCTGCCCCTATGTGTTCATGCAAACATACTTATCTCTTGCCAGTTGGAAAAAAAAATAAATTGTAATTATTATTAATATAGTCCAGAAATCATATATGAATAATATGAGGTAGCTAGTTGTCACGGTCTAAATTTTTTTTTAAAAGTCCATATAGCTATATCTGCTTTTGAAAAGTGAGTTAATCATTTGCATGGAAATTATTCTACTAAAGAACAGTGGTTATTTTTCTTAAGGAAGTATGTAATCTACAAGTTTAATCTTCTTTAGTGCCTGATGTTGAAAAGGTACCTAATCTGTAACTTTGTCATATAGAGACACAGATTTCCTGAGATATATATATATATATATATATATCAACTTGTTTTACAACTAGGTGCCCATCCGTAGTTGAGAGTTTCTTTGTTCCTTGCACCTTGATTGATCCTAGAATCTGGGGCTTATTGCAACATTTGCCTTTGACTTCCTCGGATATGGGCTTTAATATTTTAAATGCTAAAGCGATTAATATCAGTCCCTGCATCTGTATTTTGCTTTAATTTATTTGAAGCTGGTGGAGCTTTATCTTTTATCTTTAGAAAAAACAGTGATTGGATCAGATTTTTTACTTTGAAGTTGAGGGAATTATTTATCCCATGAAAACTTGATAAAAATTGAAATTTGAGCAGCCTGAAGTGTAGCTTTGTTTTATTTGGAAAGATGTGAGATTTCTTAGCACTACTTGGTTAGTCCTTTCATCCTTCATTCTATTTATCTTTTGCGGCATTCTAGTACCCTGGTAAAGTCATTGATTTTACATGTACTAATATATTGTTAACCTCCTTGGAAAATCTGAATTGTATCAGTGCAATTGTCAAGCTGTATTCTGTTAACAAGTTCTTTTGCTCATGTCTCTATGCTGAAGATTGGGATATGTAGGACTTATCCCCATTCCTTAGTTTCTGGCAAATCTGTTGGAGTGAATTACAGTTTGGAATTGCCTTTTGCAGTTCTTTTACTTGATTTTGTCTGTTCCACTTTTTAAAGTAGTTAATAACGCAGGTATTTTCAGCTTTTGGATTTGTGCATAAAATTACTACCTTTGAGAAGACAGCTGGATTCCAGGTCAATTCTCCTTCTTTTGGTATTGGTTGGTTTGCTTCAGCCTTTGAAAATAAGTTCATTCAATACCCTTTCTTTTTTGTAGGCATTGGTGCAGTTTTCAGATGCAGAAACAGCCACGTCAGCAAAAAATGCCTTGGATGGACGAATCATTCCTAGGTGACAGTTGTATTAATTGTTAAACATGGTATTTAGTTCAACTATAATAGACCATGTAGCTGTAGACATGGTGCACTTGCATTGAGCACGTATGTCTATTGGGCCCTAAAACTTTTGATTGAATGTTTCTGTTAAGGGTTGCAACATTCCCACTTGTTTGTGTTCTTTTAGTCCTTGATAAAGTATATAGACAACTCACCAAGTTAGAATAAAGTATAGTTCCTATAATTAACAAAGGTGTCCTCCACAAGCAAAGCTTTAATCTTACAGCTTATGTTGTTCTTTTGTGGCCGTTGATTTTCCTGCACAATGATCTTCTGACTTTGCGCTGGGTTTTCAGGTATCTGCTTTCTGAAAATATAGCTCCTTGTACGCTTAGGATCACGTATTCTGCTCATACAGATTTGAGTGTGAAATTTCAGAGCCACAGGAGCAGGTATTCCTCATGTCTCCTCATGGAATCTGATTATTAATCATATGTATCACATTCAAGCACATAATTGGTTCTGATGTTGCTAATGAATCAATAATTTTCATGGCAGTTAGTATTTGATTGCATATATGAACTCTTCATCCATTCCTTGTTGCCTTACGTTTTGCTGGTGCTGCTGCTCATCTCTCTGCTAGTGATCTCCATTTTCTCTATCATATGGTAATTACAGAAATTGTTTGCCTCCTTTTCTTTTTTTCTTCAGGGACTATACCAATCCCTATCTTCCTGTTGCTCCTTCGGCTATTGATGGAAGCAGCCAGGTAAACAATATTCTATTGACAGTTGAATTTCTTAACAGCAGTTAGAATTTTAATATAGCTCTCTGTGAATTTTTTACTAGATACATTTTCTTAGCACACACCCTTTGTTTTAGCCCAAGGTACTTGCCATAAATGTATTAAAATGATTATGTCTAATTTTTTCTCTTGCAAGGTGTCACATGCTTCAAGATTCAACTTTTGTGAACCTTTATTTCTACTGAGAAATGATAATTTTACTGCATTACTACGCTGGATTCTATAGTGTTTGTTTACTATTTTTTCTTTTTTAATGAGATTCATTTGTCAACATTGCAGTTCAGTTTGGGTCTTGATGGGAAAAAACTAGAACCTGAGAGTAACGTATTACTTGCATCTATCGAGAACATGCAGTATGCTGTTACTTTGGATGTGCTACAAATGGTATTTACAATTACTGGAATATGACTGTATAGTATGTCAACTCAGACTGATTATTCATAATTTTCTGTATGTATTTGTCCCATGTTTAGGTTTTCTCTGCTTTTGGCCATGTTCAAAAGATTGCCATGTTTGATAAGAACGGTGGAGTGCAGGCTCTAATTCAGTATCCTGGTAATGTTTAAATATGTTTATTTGTCTTGTCTTAAATTAGGCCTCTAAATGTGATACTTCTTCCATCAAGATGATCTGTTGTTAACCTTCCAGAATTTCTGACTAGTGATACAAAAGGTTATTGTTAGATTGAGAGTGCTTGTTGAAACAAATTCGACCTTAGTATTTATGGCTTAACCCATTATTCTTTTTATATTTAGGCTAGAACATCGGAAGGAGACTGTATGCATTATTCTGGCCATTCCTTAAATTTAAGTATTAATGGTTCCATCCCATGTTTTGCAGATGTTCGGACAGCCGTTGTTGCCAAGGAGGCCTTGGAAGGGCACTGCATATATGATGGAGGGTTTTGCAAGCTTCATATCTCATATTCACGCCATACTGATCTCAGTATAAAGGTGTTTGGAGGATACAATTTTCTGATTGTTATCTAAATGGTTTGTTTTGATGCAATAGTTTAGCTTGGTGGCAAAATTGACGGCCGCGCATTTTCTTGGTACTTTTTCATGGTTTTTTAAAGGGTGTGAGGAAGTGAAGAGGGAGGGGGTGGGGGAGTTCTTTAGAGTTCTTCAGAATCCTGCTATGTTGCATTGCATTGATTGAATTACATTGCTGATTTTGTTTGGTCTTTAGGTTGCAACTTTTAAAGATAAAGAAGCTCAGTCTAATATGGTTGGTCTGTTCGTTACAGGTCAACAATGATAGGAGCAGAGATTACACAATCCCTAACCCTACCATGGTTAATTCACAGCCAGTTCAAACAATGGGCCCGGCTGCTCATCAATACAATGGGACTCAATATGCTCCAGGTCTAGAGCAACCTATGATGCCTCCTCAACCTTCAGCTGGATGGGCCTCAGCTGTTCCAGCACCGCCGCAATCCATGCCAGTACAGATGACTAATCATCATCCTTACATGCCACCAGCCCCAATGCCTCAAATGACTCCCGGGATGATGCAAATGCAAGGACAGAGTGGCGTATCACCACCAGCTGGTATAGTGCCTCCTTACAGACCCAGTCAGATGTGATAGCATTTATCTACGGTATATATAAAAACTGAGTTGGGGTGGCCTCAGCTGCCACATAGTGCTTGCTCCCTATCTGCCTTATTTTGTTCTTTTTATTGAATATGGACTTGATAATAATTTCTAGTGGACATTTTTGGTATTTTGTTCATGGAATTTCGGGAGTTATTGAGTTATAAAATTAAATTAATTCTGGGTCATTTAAATATTTTAGATTCAAGTTAATTCGACTGAGTAATCACTTTTGTCAAATAAAATTTGGTCTAATTGAAGGATTTTTCAACTTCGAATTCATTTTGCTAGCTCTATTCTTACATGTAATTACTTATTCTTGGTTCAGCTCCGTACTAAAATGATAATTGGTATTTACATTAAAGAAATCAAATAATAATTAATATTTATGTTAAAAATATCAAAATATGCATGAACATACGTTCTTTTATTTTTTATTTAAAATATGATGTTAGTGTATTAAAAAATATAAGCCATGTAAATTTAGAATTTTTTAGTAGCTACCAATTTTATATCTTATACCAAAATGTAAAATTCTATTATTCTTGATCTACAAAAAACAAATAATCTCTCCATGCTTTTTCAAAGATAAGATCCAGAATAGTTTATATTCAAAATCATTGATTAGTCAAATCTTTTCTCTTTTTGTATTTTTATTCTTTCTCTAATTTTCTTATGCTTTTATAAATAAATATTTTTAACGAAAATATTATATAGATATTTAATTATTAATTTATAATTAAAAAAAAAAATACAACACCCTTCACCCACAACCACAATGAAACGCATTACGCGTGCAACTAGTTTTAGCAGCTAGTTAAAGTTAATACTTACGAACGAAAAATTATAAATAGTGAGTTGAAAATAGAAACTCAGTTGAGTAGAGAAAAAAAAAAATCATTGTGACAAGCCGGCATCAATTTCAATAGAGATAAGGTTTCAATTTATTCGTTCGTTCCTCTAATCTCCTCTTCCTATCACGTTGGCTCTTAACTCCGTCTCTTTTTCTCTCTCTCTCCTTCGTTTCCTTCCCACAGCATACACTAAAAAACTAAGGAAGGCAATCTTCTCCCGTTAAACCCTAAGTTATGACTGTATCTCTCAAAGCTTCTGATATGAGCTGAATGGGATGAAGAAGATGAAGCTGCAACAGAGTGCTTGCACAACTTGATAAGAGAAAGGAGAAGAAGAATCGAGAGAAAGAAATAGGAATTTTTTATATTGTATATTCATCAACTGATTTCAGTTACTCCAATACATCATATATCACAAAATAATGTCTCAACAAAAAACCAACGACCTCTTTGTAATTAGCACCTCTATAACTAATCCCATATTAACTGACTTAACAAACATTTAAAATAGATTTATGTTTATTGAACTGGACATGAATAATACCCAATTAGCCAGGAAGTCCAATACTTTAGCACAGCCTGTAACATATACCCTTCCTTGTAAAGATCTTGTCCTCAAGGATCAAAAGAAGAATATTGCTTTTGTAGATCATAGAAGACTTCCCAGGTGGCATCTTCAGTAAAGCAATTGCTCCATTGCACTAGCACTTCAGTGACCAACTTACCTCTTCTCATGTTCATACGCCTGTCCAGAATTGTTACAGGTTTTTTAGCTATGACTCCATCAGCATCCAGTAAAGGTAACTGTGCTTGTGTTGGTTCTTTTCCCACATGCTTCTTGAACTGTGACACATGGAAAACTGGATGAATACGAACATCTGCTAGTAACTCCAATCTATTTGCCACAAGTCCCACTTTATCCAACACTTTGAAAGGTCCAAAGAACTTAGCTGTATGCTTAAGAGGATATCTATTAACAACAGATTTCTGCCTATGAAGCTGAAGTTTAACATACACCCAATCACGAATATTAAACTATCTGTCAGATCTGTGCTTGTCAGCCTGTTGCTTCATTTTATTCCTAGCTCGAGTCAAATAAAATTTCAAAAGCTGGATTGTTACTTCTCTTGCCTGCAAACTCCTATCAACCTCTCCCACCTTAGAATCGCCAGAAATATAGGGCATATGAGTTGTTGCAGCTTGTCCATACACAACATCATAAGGTGCGGATTGAATAGCAGTGTGATGGCTGATATTGTACCACCATTCTGCTAGCGGCACCCATTTAGCCCAATCCTTTGGTCTTTCACCAATCACACATCGAAGGTAGGTTTTTAAGCATCTATTAACCACTTCAGATTGCCCATCAGTCTGAGGATGGTAGGCAGTCGACATTTTCAGCTCAGTACCAAGCAGTTTGAATAACTCATTCTAAAACAAACTAGTGAAAATCTTGTCTCTGTCTAAAACAACGCTGTTTGGAACTTCATGCAGTTTATAAACATTATCTAAATAGGCTTGTGCCACCGTATGAGAAGAGTAGGGATGAGAAAGAGTGATAAAATGAGTATATTTGCTCAGTTGATCCACAACTACCATGATGACTTCCTTACAAAAGGATTTAGTTAATCTTTCGATGAAGTCCATTGAAACATCTGTCCAAATTCTATCTAGAACTGGTAATGGTTGCAACAACCTAAGCATGCCAGCCGCATAGAACATCGTCTCACAAACAGTCTAATTTCCTACTTAATGCCCTTCCAATAGACCACACTAGCCATCCTTTTCATTGTAGCCTCTACACCTGAATGTCCACTAGAGACTGAATTGTGAAAAAATTTTAATAACTCTTGTCTGAGTCCAGCAGTAGACCCTAACCCTACTGCCAATTTCCCTTTTCATCTTAATTGGCCATTCTGCCATGTATACTTGGAAGAACGGTTTGATCATGCTGAATTTTGTGAATCAGCTTAGTAATTGTAGAATCTTCAACCCAAGAGTGCTTGATTCTGTCAACTATTTCATTCTCAATGAGTGAAATCGCACATAACATTGCCTGTGGTCTTCTAGATAAAGTGTCAGCTACTGAGTTAGAAGACCCTTTGCTGAAGATCAATTCATAGTCATAACTCATCATCTTAACAACCCATAGCTGCTGTGCAGGGGTATTAGTCTTCTAATCTAGAAGAAATTTAAAACTTTGATGATCAGTCTTAATCTGAAAATGCCTACCAGTTAAGTAAGAATTCCACTTTTTAATAGCTGCTAAAAGCAGCTATCATCTCTTTCTCGTAGACTAATAAGAGCTGGCGTCTAAGAGATAAAGCGTTACTGAAGAATGCTATAGGTCTACCTTTCTGACTTAACACCGCCCCAATGCCCAAGTTAGATGCATCAGACTCAATGATAAAGGTTGAGTTAAAATCAGGCAAAGCCAACACAGGAGCAGAAATCATTATTGCTTGTTTGAGTGCTGTAAAGGCCTTTGTGGCTTCTGCATTCCAAGAAAATCCATTCTTTTTCAAAAACTTTGTTAATGGTTTACAATTGAACTGTACCCCTTAATGAACGTTCTATAGTAGCCTGTTAAGCCAAAAAATCCCCTGAACTCCTAAACACAATTAAGAATGGGCCATTCTAAGACACAAGTTATATTCTTGTCATCCATAGCCACTCTTTGCTGACTAATAGTATGCCCTAAATATTCCATTTGAGTTGCAGCAAACACACATTTAGATAATTTGACAAATAATTGATTCTGAACAAATGCAACAAATGACTCTCCCAGTTAGCAGAGTATATAAGAATATCATCAAAGAAGATAAGCACAAATCTTCTGAGATAAGGCTAAAGGATGTTGTTCATAAGACTCTGAAAGGTGGAAGGGGCATTGGTGAAGCCAAAAGGCATTACCAGAAATTCGTAGAACCCAAAATGGGTTCTAAATACAGTCTTGTAGATATCTCCATCATCCATTTGAATTTGCTGATAACTAGATCTAAGATCTAACTTAGAAAACCAACAAGCTCCAGTCAAATCAACCAAAAGTTCATCAACCAAAGGCATAAGAAACTTATCCTTTATGGTGTATTTGTTTAATTGCCTATAATCCACACATAAACGCCATGAACCATCTTTTTTTTCTTTTTTACCAACACCGCTGGAGAAGCAAAAGAGTTGGTGCTGTCCTAATAAAACCAGATTCTTTCATTTCAGCCACCAACCTCTTAATTTCAATCTTCTGAATGGCAGGATATCTATAGGGTCTGATTTTAATGGCTAATGATTCATCTTTTAGTGGTATTTTATGATCTTGAGCTCTTTTTGGGGTTAACTCCTTAGGTATCTCGAATAACCCTGAGAACCTGGATAACAACTTTTGCAACTCTATTGGTAACTCACAATTCTTTTGGCTTCCAGCTGAAACTGATAATGATTGTGGTGTTTGCAACCCTGCCAACATCATTACACAAGTGCTGGTAGAGCTTAACTTCATTTTAGCTAGTTGCTTCTTAGTAGCCATTTTCTCCTTGCCTTCAATTATCCCTTGTAGGGAGTAATTATTGCCTGTTATTATGAATTGCATAGTTAAATTGGCAAAGTCCCATACAATAGGACCTAAATTTTGTAGCCATTGCACTCCCAACACCATATCACACCCCATTAGTGGAAGTAAACGAAAGTCCGTGCATTGCCACAACCCTTGAGCTTTCCATTGCACCCCCTTGCAGACTTGCTTCACCATTAACTGATTGCCATTAGCCACTGTAACTGGCATGCCTGCAACAGAAGACACTTTACAGCCTAATCTCTTAGACATAGCTTGATCAAGGAAATTGTGAGCGCTTCCATAATCAATTAGAATGACTAGCACTTGATTTTTAATTTTTCCTTGAATCCTCATAGTTTGTGGCCCAGCTGTTCCACTCAAGGCATGTAAAGATAATATGGCTCTATTTAATCTTTCACTGTCTTCATTGTTATCTTTAAACAACTCCAAACAATTAAAGAACTCCTCCTGTTCTTTGGTTGGTTCTATACTCTCATCAACCAATGACCGGTACTATTGAGATCTCATACACCTATGTCCCGTAGTAAACTTCACTCCGCACAACATGCACAGCCCTTTCTTCCTTCTATCCTTTCGTTTTTTTTGTAGGAAACTTGTTGTTCTTTGGTGGATTAAGGTATGACTTCATATTAGGGTTTTATAGGTCACGACAATGTTTGATATTTTCTGAGGTTGAGTGTAAGTCAAGAAGGGGCTTTTAGGTGTAGGTAACAGTGGTTTTGAAGTGCTTGGGGTGATATGTTGTAAAAGTGGAGCTGTTAAG